TCCAAGGCCAAGGTGCCAGTAGATTTGGTTCTTGGCGAGGGGCCTCTTTCTGGCTTGGAAATGGCTGCCTTCTCTTTGTGTCTTTCATTTCCTTGATGCATGCTCATGGAGAGAAAAATATCTCATCTTCCTCTTCTTGTAAGGACACTAATCCCATCCAGAGGGCCCCACCCTCGTGACCTCACTAAAGTACCTCCCAAAGGTAGTGGTATCTCCTAATACCACTACCTTGGGGATTAGGGCTACAACATATAATGCAGGACGAACATAAACATTCAGCCCATAACAAACCCTAAAGGATGAGAATAGATGGAAACATAGAGGAAAACAACATACACTGGGTCTTTCAGAGGGTAAAGGGTGGGAGGAGGAAGACGATCAGGAAAAATAACTAGTAGGCACTACGCTTGGCTTAACACCTGGGTGATTAAATAATCTGTGCAGCAAACCACCATGGCACACAATTATTTCTGTAACAAACCTGCACTTATACCCCTGAACTTAAAAATAAGTTAACAAAAACCCTAATAAATCAAACTTTCTGTAATATTTCATACTAATGCCATGGAGTCCGTGACCTGAAGACTGCCAAAATCTAGGTGATACTAGAGCACATTTTCATAGTTAATGAAAAGAAACTCACTGAAACGAATTGAATATTTGACTTGAATTTTCAGTGATACTTGCGTATTATTTGTACTCAGGTCATGATAATTCCTATGTTGAAATTTTGTAGTTGGTAAAATCCTTACTTCATAATAATAGGTGTAATTCTTGCTCTTACTAAAACTCATCTTAAAAATAAACCAACATTCTCAGCAAACTAACACAGGAACAGGAAAACTAAACACCACATGTTTTCACTCATAAGTGGAAGTTGGACAGTGAGAATACCTGGACACAGGGAGGGGAACAACCCACACCAGGGTCTGTAGATGGGGGGCAAGGGGAGGGAGAGAATTAGGACAAATGCACGTGGAGCGCTTTGGGAGGCCAAGGTAGGTGGATCACCTGAGATCAGGAGTTTGCGACCAGCCTGGCCAACATGGTAAAACCCTGTCTGTACTAAAAATACAAAAATCAGCCAGGTATAGTGGCACACACCTATAATCTCAGCTACTCAAGAGGCTGAGGCAGAAGAATCATTTAAACCTGAAAGGTGGAGGTAGCAGTGAGCCGAGATCATGCCATTGCACTCTAGCCTGGGAGACAGAGCGAGACTCCGTTTCAAAAAAAAAAACCACAACCACCATGGCACATGTATACCTATGCAACAAACCTACACGTTCTGCACTTGTATCCCAGAACTTAAAGTAAATTAAAATATATATACACACACATATATATATACACACACACATATATATATTTTTTGTTTGTTTGTTTGTTTTTTAAACCAAGTGCTCACCTGGGAAGGTCATATACTGAAATTGAAGTTAGCACAGCCCCTTTGCAAGGATGACAAGCAAATCTGTGAAGCATTTCATATTTTTGCTGTCTGAGTGATGGTAAGGACCTCCCTACCCACCAAGATTGCTGATACATGAGTAAGAAAATAGAAAGTAAAACCCAGCAAAGACGTTTTTCTCCATGTCACTTATTTCCATTTAAAACAAAACTTCTTGAAGTAAATGCCTATGACTGTTGTCACCTGTTCCCCTCCTCACACTGTCTCTTAAACCTATTTGTTCAGGCTTCGTTCCCCCTTTTCGTCACTGACAGTTCTGGTGAAAATAACCAACCTCTGGTGACTTCCATTTGCTAACTCTGAGGATCACCTCTCAGTTCTTCACTCATGTGACATGTTAGTAGCTTTTGAAACAACTGGTCACCCCTGTTTTCTTGATATGCTTTTTGTAACTGGCCTCCGGGGCCCACACTCCTCTGGGTGTCCTCAACACTAGGACTTCTTCTCAGCCTCATTGCTCGGTTTTCTGTATCTCCCTGACTTTTAAGTGCCCCATGGTGAGTCCCAAATCCATTCTCTAATTTATCTATCTATATGATTTTATTCTGACTCATGGCTCTACATACCATCTACATGTTCAGTTTAGATTTCCATTCAGACCTCTCCACTGATATCAATGATTCTATACCCAGATGACTAATTTGACATGTCAGCTTGGATATTTAAAAGGAACCTCAATTTTAATATGTACAAATGGAACTATGGATTTCCACTCCTAAATCTGGTTCTCCTGCAGTCTTCCTCTTCTCTATAAACAGCAATTTCATCTTTCTGGTTGGTCAAGTCAACAAAACCTGGAGTTATCCTTGATTCTTCTGTTTCTTGCACATACCACATCTGGTCCATCAGAAACTTGAATGGCTCTGCCTTTATATTCCTGCCTGCAGCCCTGTCATTCCACCTCCACTGCTACTGCCTGGTCAAAGCTTCTCTGATCGCTTGCCTGTATAGTTGTGAAATCTCCTGATCAGGCTCTTTACTTCAACTCTTGGACCTAGTGTCTCTTTATCTTACAGCAGCCACAACTTATGTTCTTAAAGAATGTCAGATTATGGCACCCTTCCTCCCATGTCCAAAGACTTCCTATGGTTTCATATTGAAAGACTGAATATGTAAACAGCCAGTAGCCAGACCAAACATTAAAACACAGCTCTGTGGCACAGACTACAGCAACCAGAAAGCCAAAGACAACTTCTTTGGCAATCAGCCCCCAGTGGTCAGGATCTGATGATGGCTTTCCTAATTTTTGTCTCCACTTGAAATTTTGGAACACCCAGACAGAGCCAGATGTGCACCTCTAACCATTGGATACTTCACTTCTAGTTAATCCACTAGAGCTTCCTCATGTCAGCAGCCTCCATTCAGGGCACTCCTGAAGCCTTTCCTTTTTTCCACTATTAGGCATTCCCACATCTCTGCCTGTCTTTGAGTCTTTATCAAAACACAGGTGACAGTGGCTGACTCCATTGCTATAGCAAGCTCTGAATAAACAGCATATGCGTGTTCTCATCCCAGCTGATCTTTGTTTATTTCCATATCTTAACAATGAGTAAAAACCAAAGTCCTTCAGATAGTCCTGATGGGCTCACGTGATCTTCCCACCACCCACCCCTTCACCACCTCTCTAGCCTCATGTCTTATGCTCGCCTCCTTGCCCAGCACAGTGGCCTCCTGGCTGATCATTGTAAAGACTTGGTACAATCTGGCCCGAGGCCTTTTTCACTTGTCCATCCATTTACCTGGAATTCTCTTAAGTTATTCATATAGGACATTTTATTACTACCTTCCAATCTCAGCTCAAATGTGGTTCTAATTCTACAGAGACATTGGTTGCAATGTTCCTGTGTGTCATCGACCCCTCCACTCAGACTATGTCCAGCCACAGCCCTCACTGTCACCTCAGCACATTTTATTTTCTTCATGTAACTTGTTGCCCCCTAATATGCTACCTATTTTCTTGTATACATATTTTCTTGTCCTCCCCACCTCTCAACTATAATTAAAAACCCCATGAGGAAAAGGATTTTGTTACTTCTGTGTCCCCTGCGCAGTGTTTGGCAAGTTGATGTCACCCAACCAATATTTGATAAATAGTTACAAAATTTTATATTCACAGATTTCTGAAAATGAGGACATTTAAAAAATTAGTATGCCAGTCACAACCCCAGGAGAAAACAAATGGCACACTTAAAATGAGTAATTTAGAAAGGATTGAATCACATGACTATTTTAGAAAGAAGAGGGCAAAGACCAGTTAACACCTAGGCATGGTAAAGTGCTTTAAGGCTAATGAGAGCAGCCTCATCACCACCCCTAGGCACAGGACAGGAGAGGCTAGCTGAGCCAGGGCACAGAGGTTAGAGAGCCAGGCACTCTAACCTTTTATGGAGGGTGTGCAGCCAGCTCTGGAAACCCTGAGGGAAACCAAGGGAATAAACGCCTGGCCCACTCTGCTCTTGGCCTCCAAGCTCCTTCCTGTTTTCCCCATTGGCTGACCCAACCAGGAGCCAAAATGTAAGGGAAACGTTAGATGTGGTTCCCGTTTGCCAGCCCCTGGGGCACAGCACAGGGTGGGGCAGGGTAGAGCATGGACCTCCAAGGCTATATCCACTGTTCAACAGTCTTCTATAATTATTGAAAATCATATGTTTAATTGTTTTAAAAATAATCATGAAGTGTTTTCTGTGTGGGTGTGAGTCTCACTGAAACAGACTCCCAGTCCAATACCAGAGTATCTGTTTAGGGTTTACATAGTCAAACCATTTTTTTATCATTTTACACAATAACTGTATTTTTTAAACAAATTATCCCATTTTTATCATTTAGCATGCTTTTTTACTATGTTAAAAAGAATCATTGGTAATGTTGTATATGTTATTCTGCCGGGGTGAAAGGGAACCACGGAAATACTTTTTATAGCTGATAAATAGATTTATCAATTCTAAGGAACAGCTGTTTTTTTAAAATGTTGAATGAGCAATGTATTATTGTAATTTTCATCATGAATTGTCCAAAAGGAGCACACTTTGGATGAAAAAAACAACAGAACAGACATTTCAAGATCCGAGTTACAATTCTGACATGGCCAGCCATTGACAAATGAGTTCAACTGCACAAGCTTGAGTTTCCTCATCTGTAAAGTGGGAGGTGGGACACGGTGGCTTTTGAGGTCATTTCCACCTCTCAAATTGTATTCCATTGGAAGGTGTTAATGTGTGCCAAGAGAACAAAGTTAGATTTATAAAAAACTGTGTCAGCAAGACTTACTAATTTAGAAGAAAGCAATTACTAGAGATAAAAGCCATGTTGGGTTTTGTTTTTAGATTTAAGAATTCACTGGCCCAGTGCCTACACACTTTATATCCAATTCTTTTCCCCTCTTCTTCTTCCTTTTCCTCCCACTATGTTGTTCTAAAGAATATTCAAGAAGAAAAATATCAATCATTAGAGAAATTTTAATTGTGTATGATTGTTTCAGTGGTAAGAAGCTCAAACAAAAATAATAGTGCCTGCAATTGTGTTTTCTCTTTAGAATCAACTGTATTTATTCCCCAGTCCAAATACTCCATTGAAGAAGATGTTGGTGAGCTGTTCATTCCCATCAGGAGGAGCGGAGATGGGAGCCAGGAGTTAATGGTGCTCTGTTATACCCAACAAGGTAGCTCAATTTGCCAAAAACCTAAGATAAGTCCCGAAAAATATAAATGAGACTTTTTAACATGTTGGAGCTATAACATTTTGCCACAAAGGGTATACTTTATTAATTTTCCATAAATACAAAAAAGGATTCATTTAGAAGTCTTTCTTCAGAGTTTCACCTTTGAGGAGTCCTCTTTCTGATTTCACTTGGTCGCTTACTGCAATACTCAAGGCTTTTTGGATTGCAAAGAACTACAGCCCACCCAAACCTGCTCAAGTAGAAATGTGTTACTGTTTTTTTTTTAAAAAAAAAGAGGCAAAGTGATGCATGTCCAAGGAAAAGGAACTAATTTAAAACCAATTTGAGACTCATTTCAAAGTAATATTAAAATGTTTGCTTTGCTCACGAGCAAGCATCCTATAGAAGGTGATTTTATGTAATGTAAAATTAAAATTAATATATAATATTCACTAGTATGCTAGATACCTTTCTAGGAAATAAGTAGATTTTCTAAAAATGCAAAAGCAAAAATCATATATGCTGATATCAGAGTAGACATTTGCTAAAACTTTCATTCATGGATATATGATTTGAGAGGCAGTATAGAACAGTTATTAAAAGCCAACTTCAGGACCAGCCTTGAACTCTAGGTCCCAGAGCAAGTGGTTCAACTTCTCAAAACCTCGGTTTCCAAATGTGTAAAGCCCAGTAGAGTGGTTGAGAGGATTAAGGAGGCAAGTATGTGAAACACGTGGCACTTTGCCCCTACATAGTAAGCTTTTGAATAGTAGGGGCTATTAATTTGTAACATTGTGTTGAGCTAAAGTTCATTGATAGAAAAGACAGGAGAGAACACTGGAAATGTAATATTCCTTACAGGTGTATAGGTTTGAGGTCATTCTCAAGTTGGCTCATGATACTAGAGGAGTATAGAGTTGCTATTGCAATTCTAGGGGTGTTCATGTCTACTAACTGCCCATGAAAATGCTGTGTATGAAAATAATTGTGTCTGGAGATATCTTTGTCTTATGTTCTACATAAAAATCTTTTGAATCCTCTCTGCCTCCAGGAACAGCAACTGGAACTGTGCCAACTTCTGTGTTATCTTACTCTGATTACATATCCAGGCCTGAGGACCACACCAGTGTTGTCCGCTTTGACAAAGATGAACGGGAGAAACTGTGTCGGATAGTCATAATTGACGACTCCTTGTATGAGGAGGAGGAAACCTTCCATGTCCTTCTGAGCATGCCCATGGGAGGGAGAATCGGATCAGAGTTCCCAGGGGCTCAGGTTACAATCCTTCCTGACAAAGACGATGGTGAGTACTAATTTACCTGAAAATTCTTCTTACTTGGAAGATCAACATCAGGAACAACTTTCTAGATAGAAAAAATTAGAGTCTAAAACAGTGTGATAATATACACATTTATTTTATGTTTGGCTTTTTCATACGATTAGGTTTCAAAGTTGGCTGCATCTGTCAGTTTGTCTCCTTTGATTTAATGCTTTTAAAGGGCAAAAGTCACAACTACGTGTGTTTTTCCCCTGTGCAGTTTCTTTCACCGTGCCATTTACCATTAGGTGATTAAACTTTTAACATTTCATGGTGAAGAATTGAAATCTAATTTATTTCCTTCTTAGTTTTTTGTTTTGTTTTGCTTTTAAAAGCTTATGTTTTGTAACCTTAATCTCAGTGTTTGAAGCTTTTTCAAATAAACCTGTCAGACAAGGCTGTTAAATGAATAACTAGTAAATATACAGAAAACTAAGTCCAACAGGCCACTCTGCCGCAAAACAGGAGGGAGGGAATATCCTAGATCATTCTTCCCCAGAGAAACTAAATTGCCATGAAGTAGAAATAGAGAAGGGAGCAAAATGATCTTAATCTTCCCAGTTCAAGAAACAGTTTGTACTTTTTTGTGTGCATAGAGAGAGCAAAAGGAAAGATTGTGAATATTCTTGTAAGTAAAGCAGAAAGCAGTAAACTGGGAGATGGGACTCCCTAACACTGGGCTAGTTTTCTTTCCTCCTTGAAATTTTCCTCCTGGTAGATGAAAGAGGAAGAAACTGGAGGATGAGTCTTTCAGATTGGAAAGAAGCTGGAGGCCAGTCAAAAGACCAAACTCAGGAAGTTGAAAATAATCTACCAGGAAAGGTCTTTGATAGTTACATGACGAAGCGTGTGAGAGGTGAAGGTGGTAATGTGTCCTGTGAGCTTATACTCTGTGCCAGGCATGGTGCTGGCTCCCCTGTACATTCTTTAAAAAAAAAATCTTTGAGGTTTATTGGATCTTTGTATTTCTTTGAATTGTCTATAATACAAATTGATTTTCTTACTGATTTATAGCAGCTGTGAGAATAATAAATATTATACCTTTTACTGTACATTGTTAAAATTTCTTCTAGTTTCTGCCATTTGTTTTTGATTCATTTTATTTTGTTTCTTAAATCGACAAATAATTATGCATATTCATGGGATACATAATGACGTTTAGACACATATAAAATATACTGATCAGATCAGCATAATTAGCATGTCCATTATGTCAAACACGTATCATTTCTTTGTGTTGGGAACTTTCAATATCCTTCTAGCTAGTTGAAAATACATAACATATTATCATTAACTAGAGTCCTCCTACAGTGGTATAGAACACCAGAACTGACTCTTCTTATCTAGCTGTAATTTTGTGTCCTTTAACTAATCACTCCCCACACCCTCCCTTTCTCCTCCCTTCCCAACTTCTGCTACCTTTGCATATGATTGTGCTTTATCATCCTAACAATTCTGTAAAATATATAACAACATCTGTTTTTTACTGAAAATGTTTGAAAACACTAAAAATTAGGACTTATTTTTTCAGAGATATTAAAGAAAGCCTTGATTCTACCTTAAATTTATATAATACCCTATACGTATGAGCTGCTCTAATATTTTTAACTGTTGCCTGAATTTATTAGTGTAATAAAAAGTTTTATTCCGTATTTAAATAAAGTATAAAAATTTTATCTTAACTTTAATCTACCTTAGAGAAAGAGCTAATATTTTGAATATCAGTCTAAAAAAATCCAATAGTCCATGCTAAATGCCTATCTACTCTTTAGATAACCTATCAGTTGTTACAGGTAGAAAAAGGTAGATTTAATCTAAAAATAAAAAATGTAATTCATGTTTACTTTAGTTCAGTTTGTTTTGTTGGCAAAAAATCTTTCCTGTATGATTGCTATTGTATGCACATGCAGAAAAAAACATAAAGGTACAGAAAAAAACATTTATTAGGTGCCAGGCATTTTCATAAATGTATCTCTAAATCTGCAAAATGAAGGATGATGCCATTATACCTATTTTACAGATGACAAAACTGAGACTTAGAGAGACTAGTTGATTAATTTGAACTTACAAAGCTAGTATAGAGCAAAGCCAGTATCATGGCACCTAAATCATGACCTTTCCATGCTATCACTCCACCTTTAAAACATGTCTCCAGTGGTGAGGAGGTGGAGGAACCATTGGTACAGTTCTATCATGTAATATTCATAGAACATTTTACTATTGTCGGTGTCTTATCAGAGTTTCACAATCCACTGGTGTAGACAAGGCAAGTGGCATTATAAGTAGGGTAGTGAAAGGCCAGAACATTATTAACCCCAGAACACAGGGCTGGTAAATTTGGGTGCTGTGGACTTTGATTTCGAGGCTACAGAGTACCATGCAAACATTAGACCAGAAGTTTGTCAGGAATGCTCCTTCTTCATTCACCCAACCACTATGTAATAAATCAGAAGTCCTGTGTATACTGCTCTGTTTTCTCCCATCTGTCATTTACCTTCCACTTCTAACATTTTCATCTCGGATGTAGATTATAAACAAACTTCTCACAGGTCCCACAGCCTCATATCTCTTTCTACCCACACCTTGGTTTCCATTGCCACCAATTTAATCTTTCCTAACCTCTTACCACACCTTTCCTCAGCACAAAACCCAAAAGTGTTGACAGTAAACTTTACCATCAAAAGGAAGATAGGCACCTTCCACTTTCCCCAATCAAAAGCCAGTAATGCACTAAAAAGAAAAAAATAAGTAAGTGTGGTTTAATCTCTTCTGGTGGTGTAATGATTGAGAAACTTATAAAGTTATTTCCTAATTAAGAGAAATATTTATTATGTTATTCAGCAAACATTACAATTCTTAAAAATGCAATAATCAATCCAGTCACAGGATAAGGAAAAGGAGGAAGAAAAGGGGAGGAACAAAGGAGGTGGTACAGGGAGGATGGGCCTCATGAGAGCAAATCAAAGACAGACTGAGGAGTAAGAACAGGACAGACCAAGAAATTAAGGAAGAAAATGAAAGCACATCATATCTAAGGAGGAAGAAAAGGATAGTACTGAAAAGAGATGAGACCAAGTCCATTAGGATCTCTACTGTGGATAAACCTCTACTCTGTCATATCCTGGCACTCATTTAGGGGGTTATTTTCTTTCTTTACCGTTACTTGAAATAGCACTAGCAAAATAAACCCAGTTTACAGCTCTTTGACTACCATGTTTTCAAGTCTTCAGAAGCTCACAGTGAGATCATTATAACTTACCAGAGGGAATTATTCCTTGGACTACTTAACACAGCAGATGGTACAAGCTTAACTTGAGGCTTAATCTTCTCCACCCTGAGATTAAAGTTGCAGTTATCCAGTTTAACATTCCATTCAATAAGAAATTTAATAAGAAATAAGTTTGGGGTGGCTTATCTATTAATATTATACTTTATCCAGGGCTGCTTCCCCACAGAATCCTTTTGGCTGAATGTTTCAGAGACTATCTTTCTAACTAAATGATGATTTATAGCACTTTAGTAAAAAAATACTCTCAGAAGATCTTCTATTACTTAAGAAATGGCTACGATATCAAATGTCAACTCTTTATAGAATTGACTATATTGAATTACAGTCCCTAGGACCTGCACTTACAGCTCAATCATTTCTTTTCATTCACTCATCACAGTTTGTCTTTTCTTTGACAATTCTCAACATCGTTTTACATGTTTCTTTGGTGATACTGTGCCCTTTAGTATGATGTTTGATGGAAGCAGTGGAGCAGGCATTTTTGTCTTTTTCTCATTGAAAATGAAAATCTTATAATGGTTCGCCATTTAGAGTGATGTATACTATAAGATTCTAGTAACATTTTATCAGGTTAAGAAAACATTTAGTTTGAGAGATTTTATCAGGAATAAGTATTAAACATTATAAAAATTTCTGCATGTATTGAATGTATTAAATAATCCTTTCCTTCAGTCCATTAGTGTAATGAATTGCATTTTTAGATTTACTAGTGTTAAGCTATCCATATATGCTTGAAGAAACTTACTTGTTCATGACATAGTTTTATAAATTGCTGGATTAAATTTAAGAATATTTCATTTAGTATTTTTGCATGTATATGGAGCTTTAAATCTGTTTTTAGAATCAAGTTTATAATGGCCTCATTAATTGAGTTGAGGTGCTATCTTCCTTGTTTCTTTATCTGTAAACTTCAAATAAGACTGAGATAATTTAATTTTGCAGCTTTTGTAAAATTATAAATCTACCTGTATATATGTAGCTAGATTTTGGTCTGTTGTTTGGCTTTCTTATATGGTTATTTCTTCTTAAGTTTTGTTAAAGTATTTTTTTTTCTAAGAAAGTTGTCTATATTATCTACATTTTCAAAATAATAGTGTTAATTTATTATCATAAAATTATTAAAAGTCTCTGTTGCATGTCTATTTATGTCTCCATTTTATTACTAATAATGTTCTTTTATCCTCTCTCTCTGTCTCTCTCTCTCTTTTCCTTTTCTCTTTCAATTTATCTTTCCAGAAGTTTTTGTATCTTATTCAAGTTTTTTTTTTTTCAAACAAAAATACTATGTTTGGCTCTGACTTTTCTTTTGGAAATTTCTATTTTTTTTATTTTCTATTTTATTAATTTCTGTTCTTCCCTCAGACTTGTCTTCCAGCTGGGTAATTCTCTCTATATCTATGTCTAATTCACTACTTAACCCATCCACTAAGGTTTATTTCGATAACTATATTTGCATTTTGAGAAGATCTGTGTGGAGTTCCTTTATATTTGTCTTTGACTTTCATACTTTATCCTCTTCTTCATATAGTTTCTTTTTCATGTATTTAATAATTTAGATATTTATTTTATAACCTTTGTGGTACAATTTTATTGTTGAAGATTTAAAGTCCAAATCTTATGTTTATTGCTTCAACTGCTTCTTGCACATGGTATATTATTTTCTTGTGCACAGTAATTTAGTCTTATGAACAGATTT